GGAGGTGATCCATACTTTTCAGAGCGAGGCACTCTCTTCTTCCTTTTGGGCGGTCCGTACAGCACGTAAAAATCGAAAGAACGCCCAGATGGTTCTCCCAATAAGTCTACTTCACGAACTCCCTCTCGATATAGTTGCTTCAACAGAGTGTTGTACGATACTCCTCTTCTTCTTCTTTCTACCTCTAAATCGATTTCTTCTTCAATGTCTATCATATCATCATCTTCTTCACCATTGTAGGCCTCTTTAGAAGTTTGGCCTTCTTCATATTCCAGCATGCACGCTTATTCTTCGTTATCCTCCCTTTCTTCTTCTCCCTTCTCTTTATTCTTGAACTCATTGGCTAGTAAATAGTTATTAGCCATGACAGGAAGTAACGTACCAAACTGAATAGTAAGGGACTGATCTGGATCTTCTCCATCCCTTCTGTCTTGCTCAAACTTCGACCTCCTAAAAGAAGTCTCTGACAATTCTTCCATAGGTTTGCCTGTTCCAGTCTCTTCACTGTCTTTAAAAACATTTTGATTGGTTGCCTCGGGTAGTCTAGGTGTCTTTGGACGTAGCATTCCCTCTTGTTGCCTCATCATTCGCCCATAGTTCCGTTGAAAACGCCTTTGTTGGGTTCTAGTCATCTCGTTGAAAGGTATCGCCCTTCCAGCCTTATACTGGAACGAATGTCATACATTTGGTTGGCGAGGTTGCGGTCTGAATGTTCTTCCATTATTTATTGGCTTGAACTGCCTCTCAAAAGGCGGTCCCTTATAGAACGATGTACCCTGCCCTCTACTAGGCTGAGCGTTTAAAACTAGGGCGATGGTGATGCTGCCATATCCCTGGTTTCTCTGCATTTGCACTCACTTCTTTTTTGCACCTTGCACATAGGACGTCTTCGTCCTTTTTGGGCTCCTTCCCTTTGATACGTTCAAAGACACTGGGATGTGGTCCAACTTCTTTTTCTTCATCATTTATAACCAACTTGAATTTTGGCAACTTGTTTCTGAAACCAGACGTCAACATGTTCACTCCAAATGACTGTGGAAAATGATTTTTATCCACTGCCATCTTCCTCTAATCCTCGAACGTAATTCGTCCCTTTTCAATGGCATCCTGTAACACATGGCGAAAAATCAAACAATTGTTAGTCAAATGTGATCATGCATTATGCCACTTATAATATTTTTTACCCTTAATTTGTTCAGGGCTTGACAGTTTATGCTTATCGCTCAACTTTATCTGCTTATCCTTATATAATTTATCAAATATAAGGTCATCTTTGGTTACATCAAACGAGAACGTTCTAGCCTTTATGTTTTCATCTTTTATAGGCTCATCTTTGCCTTTGCCTGACGGTCTAGGTTTAGCCATTATAGGACAAGTATATGTGTCTCCTTTAACTAATTCGATCAAACACATTTCGGTTTGATCGTAATACTCGTCGTTAATGGTATAAACATCAAAATTTGGGTCTCTATAATAAGTCCCTTTGCTGGAATTTTTCATTTGTTCTTCCTCTCTTATTAATCGTTCATACCTAATCACGTTTGCGCTCAATTGGAAAAGATCAGGAAATTCCTTGTCTTGAAACTTCTTCTTCAGATCAAAACTTAGACAATTTTGAGCGATTTTGACAAACTCCTTTTCGGGTAAAGGTACAAAATATTTACTTCTTGCTGTTTTGAACCTTTGAAGGAAACCTTCTGCCCATTCGTTTGGCATTTGACGTAGATTCGCTAAATCGGCCAAAATAATTTCAGACCCAGTCTTATAAAACTGAGCGTGGAACAATTGCTCCAATTGTTGCCATGTTTGAACAGAGCTTGCTGGCAAATTGATGAATCAAGAGAAGACTACTCCTGTTAATGAACTAGGGAATAGCCTCATTTTATGGTAATCAGTTACGTCACCACTTTGTAGTGTGAATCACCTTATGTGTTCTAGAGTAGAGACCTCTCTTAAACCGATAAACAGTGAGAATTCTGGCACTTTATATCCTCTAAGCCACGGATATGCTTGGTCTACCCAATCAGGATATGGCTTTGTGTAAGTCGGCCTAATGACAGGACGTACTCCAAAAGCCATCTGGTCCTGTACGATTTTCATAATCTGATTTCTCAACATGACGTTGGGTTCATATGAAATTCCTACGGGTTGGTTGACCGGTTGATTTACTTGAAGTCTGATGTTTGGTCCTTGATTGGGAACAAAGTTACCATGATTTGGGCCATTGTTACTATTAGCCTAAACATTTATTCCCTCATTAACACGTGGGGTATTCTGCCCATTATTTAGGACATTATCTCTTACATTTGTATCTCCCCCCAAGTTAGATGTACCAATGCCACTATTCTGATTTGGTATTGCACCACCCCCCAATTTGAAGTAGAGGGATCAAAAGGTGGTTCTACCCCTTGATTTAAACTTAGGACTGGGGGATTATGTTCCACAATTGTCTTAGTTTGAAAGTGGTTTGTAGGAGGCACAACTGGCTGACAAATTTGGCCTACTAACTTATTCATTATTTCGTTCAAAGTATTCAGTTGTTTGGCCATGTTGTCACGATGTGCATTCCCATTCTGGGTAAATCTTTCCATATTATGAATATTTCGTAGATTTACCTATTCAACGACATATTGTGTGAGTTCTCCGAGTAATGCATGCATGGTTCAAGGACTCAACTCTGTCATTGGTTCGTAACGATTGTGATTGCTCTGATTCTGTCCATCTGTTCGTGGAGAACTATGCTGCTCCTCATATCGCTCGATTACAAACTGGACTCCTCCCTGGCTTGCTGCTTCCTTATCGGATTTCTGAGGCATATTGTTTCACCTTTTGTATTTTCAACACCAAATACCAATGTCCCACTGAGCGTGCCAAATTGTTTCGAGCGGATAGTCGCTAACAATTGAAAGGGGATCAAACGATTGTGTAAAGGACAAACCTCTTGAGACAAAGTCCCAAAAAGGAGTGTTTTATTGGCAATGACTTTACAATTGGAATATAAACAGAAATGCCTCCAAAGAGCGCAAGCACACGAGTACTGAAAAGAAATGTTTTAAGTCTAAACTAAGAAATTGAAATTACATATTCTCTGTTTGAGAATGTTTGATTCGAGGGCTTTTGCTCTATGTTTTTTCTCACTTTTATATTCTCTTGATGCTCTCTTTGTGATCAACCGCTTATAAACTGCTCAATTACTTTATAACTGCTTACTTTCTTCATGGTAGCCAACTTATCGTGGAACTGTCGTCTCTAAATGCTGTCACTACTCTTTGTCGTTCAACTGTCTTCAACTGAACTTCTTGAATCGCCGAACGTGATAAGATTACCCAATAATTGCTTCGATAATTGTACTTTTGGATAACCATAATACCTTGTGTTTGCTAAGATCCTGGGCGATTCAAAAGTTTGAGCGAGAACGAGGTTATAACCCTGGACGGCTGCAAGGCACTTCATTTGCTCAAATTTTGGGCATCTTGTAAGTTTGGGCGATGGTGTTACCGCGTTCGTAGGCTTCCACTGCATTCATTAATAACTCTATTTGGGCCTTCATCCTGAATTGCTCAGTTGGGCTTCATTTTTTGGGCTATTCGAATTAGGCTGCACTTTTAGCATGTCAACAATACCCAGCGAAAGAATAATAATATTCATAATCGGCGATTAGTTACCCCATATGATAGCTTGTTCTTTGAGTCATTAGTTTCCTATAATTCTGTTGTCTCAAATAACAAGCTAATGCCTCGTAGGATGACTAATGCAGCCGCTGGCCATGAATAACATTACTCTCAAAGAAATAGGTACAAAATCTAACAATAAATTAAATGGAATTACAACAAAAATGCATGTAACTCAACTTAAATTCATTATGAAAAAGAAACAGAAAAAAAATAAAAATGTTAATACACATAGCTTTGATTAATGCCTTAAATAGATGAATAATTGAACAGGAAATGAGAAAACTAAAAAGCAGGTAATAACGAGAAGGATTCGTGTCTCAATCGACAAAGGCTGGAATATTTCAAAGAGAGATTCATTGTGTAGACCAACGCAACTTGTACTTCGCACATTTGCAAATAATGCCCCTGTAGCCTTCTATACATGAAGTTCCTAGCACATGGCCTAAAATAGTTATGGAATATCCAAATGGCTCCATACAAAATTATTTGTCTAATACAATTAGGATAACAAATTTAGTACCATGGAAACATACCTTGTTCATTCAGGGTCAATGATTTAAATCATTTTTCCATTGATCTGTTCAAACTCTGAAACAACCACATCCCTAACTTAAAAATTCAAATTTACTCTCTCTCTCTCTCGACTCTACACGCCTTACTGATATTGTGTAGTTACATACAAAATCTCGTTCAATTTACACACAAGTGTCCCCGACCAACTAACTCATCATTCTTTAAATTTATCATTAATCAATGTCACATTCACTTACTGGTGTATATTCTTATGTTACCCAACATGACATGCCGACCAAATCATCTTAACATCCTCATTTACATGTTGGATAATAATATAAACAATATTTGAGTTAATGCAACATGAACATGTTGCTTTTTCACTTATATTCCATAAGCTTATATAATTGACTCTCTATGCAACTGTATCAAATCAAATGGATTTCAATGTTATGATCAGTTGCATATGTGTGGAAATCAAGTTACATTCCC